TGTCTGATGTCACACAGAAGTCAACCATCAGTGAGCTGCTGACAAATCTCATCGAGGGGAATCTGCTTCCCTCTGCTCTCATCTGGATAACTTCCCGACCCGCAGCAGCCAGTCAGATTCCTCCTAAATGTGTTGACAGGGTGACAGAAGTGCGAGGCTTCACTGACTCTCAGAAGGAGGAGTACTTCAGGAGAAGATTCAGAGATGACGCATTCTCTAGCAGAATTATCTCCCACTTGAAAACATCCAGGAGCCTTTACATTATGTGTGGGATCCCAGTCTTCTGCTGGATCACTGCTACAATTCTGGAGCACATGTTGACTACAGAGGAGAGAGCAGAGCTGCCCAAGACCCTGACTGACATGTACTCACACTTCCTGCTGGTTCAGATAAAGAAGAAAAAGCACAAATACTCTGAAGGGCATGGGACAGGTGTACAGAAGCTTACCAATGCTGACAGGGAAGTTCTTCTGAAGTTGGGGCAGCTGGCATTTGAACATCTGGAGAAAGAAAACATCGTTTTCTACCAAGAAGACTTGGAGCAGTGTGGTCTGGATGTCACAGAGGTCTTGGTGTACTCAGGAGTTTGTACAGAGATCTTCAAAGAAGAATCTGTGATCTTCCAGAAACCAGTTTACTGCTTTGTTCATCTGAGCATTCAGGAGTTTCTGGCTGCTGTCTACATGTTCCACTGTTACACCAACAGGAAGACAGAGGTGCTGCAGGACTTCCTTAGTAAAGACATCTCATCTCTGGAAGATCTTTTGAGCAATGCCATGGAGAAATCTTTCCTAAGTGACAGCGGCTACCTGGAACTGTTTGTTCGCTTCCTTCATGGCCTCACTCTGAAGTCCAACCAGAGACTCTTAGGTGGTCTGCTGGGTCAGACAAAGAGCAGTCCACAAATCATCCAGAGAGTCATCAACAACCTGAAGGAGATTAACACTTATGATAAGTGTCCTGACAGAAGCCTCAACATCTTCCACTGTCTAATGGAGATGAATGACCTTTCGGTACATCGGGAGATCCAAGAGTTCCTGAAGTCAGAGAACAAATCAGTGAAGAAACTCTCTGGAATTCAGTGCTCAGCTCTGGCATATATGCTGCAGATGTCAGAGGAGGTTTTGGATGAGTTGGATCTGATGAAATACAACACATCACAGGAGGGACGACAGAGACTTGTTGCAGCTGTGAGGAACTGCAGAAAGGCTCGGTGAGTCCAGATGTGATTAATAATATAA